GTCGTTTCTCCGAAACGACACTGCCTGCCTCCTCGTTTCCCGGTCTTCCCGCCCGACGGCCTCTTGAACACCTCCTTCGGATTCAACCTCTCCAAACGTACCATATTTCTCCTGGCATCAGGATCAAGCCATCCCCATGTCCCAACCGGTCCCCCTGGCTGGTTAATCAAAATTGAACAAGATGCAAATGTATCCAACAGAGTTCAGCTGCTGAATCCGCTTTCCAGTTCTCCTTTTGATTCACTGCCTGAAGGGTTCCCCAAGGTACTGAATTTATTGAATCTTAGCGTTTTCGAATTGGGTCAAGAGTACGTGCTTCATTATATGAATGATCCAGGACCGTCTTCTTGGAATGATTTGGGGAACTTGTATAGGGAGAAAGTTATGTTATTGACTGTGGGCAACGTTAATGATTTTGTGTTGCTTACAATTCATTTGTCTGGGAAACTGGTTATGTTCAGGTCTGCACATAAGAAGTGGACTATTATTCCAGATATGCCATCTCCTTATGATGATGTGATACTATATAAAGGAAATTTCTATGCTGTTGATAATACTGGTAGGACTGTGCTCGTGGGTTTGGATTTGAGCGTTAGCCTGGTTGCAAAACCTGTTTTTGGCGGTGACAAGAAGTTTTTGGTTGAATCAAGGGATGAGTTGTTGTTAGTTGACATGTATTTGAGCATTGAGAGCAATAGTGATTCTACTGGTTTGTTTGAGGAGTATTTTGAGAATCTCTCTTGCTATATGAATGAGAGGACTGTAAGGTTCAAGGTTTTTAGGTTGGATGAAGCCAGTCAGAAATGGGTTGGGATTAAAAATCTGGGAGATCAGGTGTTGTTTCTGGGGGATGATTGCACGTTTTCTGCATCAGCTAAAGATATGCATGTGAGTAGGGGGAATTGCATAATTTTTGTAGATAATTTCTTCTATCTGAATGAAGAAGAATATGGATCATTAGGAAATCATGGTATAGGTGTCTTTGATCTAGAGAATGATTCCATAGGACCATTGGTGAAATATCCTCCATGTTCGGACCTGTTCTGGCCACCACCTCAGTGGATTTCCTCCATGACATTGGAAGTAAGTGTTTACCTTAGCATTATGAGAATTTGTTATGAGATTATTTTCTTTACTTTTGGCTACAAATACTGAATTTGTCAGTTTTAATAACTCATTCTGACCATGCTATATCCTCTTATGTGGATGTTATTTCTTAAGCTACTTGTGCCTGTTAACATCAATTGGCAATTGGCAGTAAGATTACCCCGGCCTTGAAGTATTGTCTCTGAAAACAACCCCTTTTTTGCATTGCCATTTTTTAAACTACTCATACTCTGAGTGTTAACTACAAATGGTAGTTGAAAGTATGATTCCAACCTTGTGATATTGTCTTAAAATAACCCCCTTTTAGGCATTGCCAGTTTTTAAACTAGTCGACAGTTTAACATGAAAGTAAAGACTCTTCCAAGGTCCAACCTTTTGGTTGTATACTTGTATTGTCTTCTAATATTACTCCCTTTTTTTGCATTTTCTACACACACACACTTGATAAATAGAATCTTATTGGGCAAAAGCATGTCTTTAATTATGTTTACTATTGATTCTAGACTCTAAAAGGTTAAAATGTAGGTAGAAGCTAGATTTTAATAGAATTTCAATTTCTTTATTTCATATAGGTCCCTTATATATTGCGTTCACCAGGGTAAGAGACGCAAAATCTGTAATTTTAATTGTTGAAATTGTTTTGGGGTAGTATTTAGGTGAAATCAGGAGTGATGTAGGCTGCTTTGGTGGACACTGATGGAATTTAGGTGAATTTTGTTCATGGAAGGTCTGGTAGAGGGTAATGCTGATGGAATAGATAAATTTATTTTTTTGGCAATCCCTGGTAGAAACTGTTAAGTATTGATGTTATCCTTATATTATTGGCAAATATCTGTTTATTTTGACATAGTTCCAGTTTTGATCCAATATTCTTTCTGGACAATATTGGAATATTTATGCATGTGGCTTTATAATGGAGCCACCAACAGTTGAATTACAGAAGCATTATTGTTGTTCTGTGTTAACAGTGGTTGTAAATTAGCATGTTTGTCTCATTTGAAACTAGTTTTATAGTGTGTATGTTTTCTTTAAATTCGTTTGCTCTTTTTTCCCTACCATGTAACAGCAAGTAAAAGGCTGATCTGGTGAATGTAACAGGTTTAAAATCATATTGAAGAGCCTGCCTAGTAATATGTTTTTCCTACTTCATCAGTATACTGGTGATTGTTGTACAAGCTTTCAGAGTTGAAAGTCCTTCAGTGCTCTATGAATGACTTTTGTTGTATCCACCCAGAAAACTAGCTATTGGGATTACTTGGTTGTTTGGCAATAGGAGCAGGTACGTGTTGACTGAAGTTTCTGATCTTCTGTTCAATAACCAAATGCTTACCATTCGGCATAAGTTAAAAAATTATCCAGTTCATTGTAGTGATAGACAGGGCAGTCATCATGTCATATTGTTTTTTAGCATGTAAATAAGCCCTGAATCACCAAGGAAGTTGGAGCTTGGAATCACCTGATTTTCATCAAGCAGCATCTTCTTCTGATGCTCATGTACTTTGCAGTCTTGCCATTCCTAGCACCCAACTCTAAGGCCCAAGCCAATTAGTTAGTGTTAGTTTAATTTATATTCTCACATATTTCGAACCTTTACCCTTTACTGATTATCATCATTTAATCTGCACTGAGATTCCCTGAACTGATTTCTAGAATTGTACAGTTTATGCTGTTGAATTTCAGCAATCAATATTTGGTTTGCATTAACTGCCAGAGATGAAATCTTTCTAGTTGCTGGTTTGAAGATTGAGTTTGAGATTTTCAAATAGGTTGCATATACTGAAGTAATATTTGTTTTTGGTACATGGTGAAGTATGTTAATAAAATACAGTGTTAGTAATCCAAGCGGCTTTTATGTTTCCTGTAAACATCCATCCTTCCACGGCAGTACCTAGACTTCTCTTCAGTTTTTTGTTTTTTGTTTTTTTCATTTTTCCTGCAAAATGGGAAATTACATGGGAAGGCTCACTGCTCCAAATAAGGTGTAAAATTGGATCTTGTGATTCCAAATTTCCAAGTAAATATGTGTTAAAAAATGTGTAAATAAATAGAAAGCAAGCAACCCTAGCAGCTTTCATGTCCTCAGGATCGTCTTCCTTTGCAGCTTAGTATTAACTTTTAAGAATATAATTTCTTGCCTTTTTGTGTTATATTAGCCGTGTTCTTCTTTAACGTAACTTCCCAAGATCCCAAGAAAAAAAAAAAAAAAAGTAACTTCCCCTGCACCAAAGAATTAACCTGCTGGTAGGATTATGTTTCAATAAAAGTAAGAAATTCAAAGAGATTCTAAATTGAAGTCGTGTCACCTTATTGTATCATCGAAAATAACAAAACTTTTACTTCCCCTCTTTCGGCCTCTTTATTTATCTTCACCTTCTGAGAAAAACCTCAATCCACGGCAGATTGGTAAATGACTAAACACCCACTTCAAAATAATCCATTTCGAGCTTCTTCTTCTTCTTCTTCTTCTTTTTGAGAGGGGAGGGGGGGTGTCGGGGGTGTAATCTGAAGTTTACTACTAGGAGCAATAAAGATTCAAACTTCTAACATAAACTTTAAATGAGAATTTTATATTATATTTAGTTAACTGCTAATTCTGAAACTTCACTCGAGTCTTGAGATTCCCATGTAGCTGCACATATTCTTCCATTTTCTCTCATTTTCCTGAGAGAACTACATCTCTAGAGATCTTTCAAACCCAATTTTCCATGCCTTAAAATAAACATCAATGTGCTGTGTCTTCAACCTTTCCTTTTTGTTCGAAAGTAAAGCACGGATAAATTTGTAGAAGGCTGACTGATCTAAATAAACTAGACTAAACTGGAGTTTGTGATTCCAAGTAGACGGCGTATGCTAAAAAAAAATCATTAATAAAATAGAAAGCAAGAAATTCTAGCAGCCATGTCACATTAGACCATTGCAATTTTGTGCTAATGTTAAAGGATTTTGGATGTTATTATTTCTCTAATTCAGCCTCTTCAATTTTCCCCCCCAACATTCTCTCTTCCCTAAACAACTCCAATCCAGCCATGGCAGATTGGCCTCACCTTCCAAAAGAGCTTCTCCTTCTAATCGCCAAATCCCTCGAAACCTACTTCAACATACTCCATTTTTTAGCAGTCTGTTTGTCCTGGAGAGTTTCTGTCCCCTACAACCTTCTACCTTCACCTCCCTATTGTCCATAGTTCCTATTGTGGAGGACGAAGCAAAGAGTTTAATTTCAAAGCCCACCATTTCCCTCTTCAAATGCCATGGACTTCATAACCGAACAATCCCGCATTTCTGGTTAGTCGAGCTTGAAGAAGATGATGAATCCGATAAAATTCACATCCTTAACCCACTTTCAAGTGGTTGAATGAAGCCCAAGTATCCCAAAGACCAGAGTCCTGGACATTTTCCAGATTTCATGTCCAAGAACTGGCTCATGAATATGTTATTCAGCGCATGGATGATGATGGCACAAGCACATTGAAAGTGGCTTATTGGCATACCAAGCCTAATGATGATTATTGTTATTTGATATTTGTAGATGATGATGGATCTCTATCTGTTTAAGTTCGGAGATGAGAGAGCTACTCAGATTGAAGTGGAAGGCTGGAGTTCATGCTGTTGTGATGATTTCATTCAATTCAACGGCAAGTTCTATGCAGTCGACAATTTGGGAAGCAGGATCACTATCGAGCCTTATTCTCGAGCTGCAACTCCGGTGACAGGAGAGCTGACATTTAAAGGGAAGAAGAAGTTCTTAGTTGAATCATTTGGGAAACTATTGCTGGTTGACATGTTCCGTGCCCCAAAGACTATACACGGTGATCACTATATATAGAAAACCTCTCTGGTTTCAGGTGTTTCAGCTGGATGAAGAAAGGAAGAGATGGGGTCAAGGGAAAAGCCTGGGATCTGAGGAAACTGCCTCGTTTTCGCTCATGAATCAATTGGTGAATATGGAAAATTAAGAAGGGACGAAGTATATGTGTTCAATATGTACAATCAAAGGGGTTACACCTCTGCAGTATTTCTGTGGTTATCTTCAATTGTTTCAGCCGTCTCTTCTTTCTTTGATAGCCTATCTGAGATATCCGCTAGTCCAGCGTTCAGGTTGTCAAGTTTGGTGCCCTGGAGCCTTTTTCTTCTGGGCCCTGGGACAGGAAAATTATAGATGTAATTCACATGGAGCAGTTGGTGTCAGTTTGACCTATGTTGTCGCATATTTCAAACACTCAACTCTTACTGATTCTCATTATGTAATCTAGATTGATATTCCCTAAGTTTGATGTGCCATTTC